AAACATTAACTGCACCATACAAAGTGAGCAGGATTAAAGAAGTGGAGAGTGAATGAGAGCAGAGAGATGTTACCCAAGGTTTTACCTGAAGAGCACTGTGCAGTGAGTTCCACCACTGAGGGGCGCTAAAGAACACTAAAACTATAAGATCTTACCTTATGAGAATGATCAGATCTCAGGGAAGATCATGAGAGTCCAGAAGTGAAGACCCGAGCTGGCGTGCAGGTGTGAAGGTCTGAAGGTGCTGAGGGAGGTTTTGTATCTGATTCTCGTCTCCACAAGAAGTGAAGTGACCTAAGAAGAAAACAGTCTAAATTAGTCTAGTTAGTTACAGCAGCTCTGAGTCTTTATTACTCTGGATCAACAATACAGATTTATTAATATTAGCAATGTAGACAAAACTGATTATTTCTGAAATGATGTAACATTAAAGAGAATAGACAGGCTATTAAAGATTTCAGTTATTGGTAAAAAGTCATTTACCTCCCTGAAAAGAACAAAGTTGAGGTTGTGTCTGTTGTAAATATATCATGTTGATCACTTTCATAAATAAACACATTAATAAACTATATTTTTCACATTATAGACAACACTGGACAGTATGTTCCTGACAGAAACTCATCTGAAAGGGACGTTTCTGGTAAGTACTACAGTTCTCTTTTACTTTTTTTATCAATCCGGAAACGGATGCCAATTCTAGCTTAAACACTGGCGCATGAAGCTTGAAACAGGCCTAAAATAACAATTATACATACATACATACATACATGTTGCTGAGCTGCTGAGCTCTAATTTCCAAATGAAATGCATCCGATTCTGCCACCAGTCAGCATCAGAGCAGATATTTTGAAGATGTCCTGCCAATCAGCAGTCACTGATATGATTTACATATGTGAACGTGATCATTTGTGGATAGAGAGTAAATAAATAAAGCTCGTTTCAAATAAAACAATACAAAGGGCCAATCAGAGACCCTGAACTCTTCACAAACGCACTGTTTGCTGCTAAAAGGTACGAGACGAAATACAGTGTGGCTAATAACGTTAGCTGAGGTGAAAACAGATGATTAATATTTGTCTATTAATAATAATAAAACTTTTCAAGAACCCAAAGACACAATTTTAATAACACAGACAACAGTAAACAAACACTACAGTACAGAAGAACACAGCAGTGAAGAAGACGAGGTGGAGATGTAATGAGAAGGTCGGATTAGATCAGTGGTGTGTTGTAGGTGAGAGAGAAGAGACGGGTTTAGAGATTTGATCTGAATATATAAAGAGAATTAGACGGCTGGACTTGTGGAGGAAGAGAGTTCCAGAGATGAGGAGCAGAACTAGGGAATGTTGGAAGCTGTGAAGGTTGGATGGAGGAATGTTCAGTAAATCAGCTGAAGAAGAGCAGAGAGAACAGCTGGGTTTACAGTGAAGGAGGAGATCAGACAGTAAGAAGGAGGGAGGTCGGTCAGAGCTCTGAAGTGAAGGCGGTGCTTTACAGGAAGCCAGTGGAGATCATGGAGAACAGCTGTAATGTGGTTATGAGAGCGAGGATGAGTGAAAGACGAGAGTTCTTGTGAAGGGAAGAAGAGCTGATTCTGCAGGTAGAGAGTTGCTGGTAATTTTTTCTCCATTTCAAAAAAAGTAAATATCTTGATATTTCTGGAGAGGAAGGTCTGATTAAAATCAATCATATTCTGGTGACTTATCCTGGTGCGTAGGTTATACAAACGAGTGGAGATTTGAGCGCATATGGTGAATTAGCTTCAGTGTGTCAAATCAAATGCCAGCATACCAACAACTAATTTACATATAATTTACATGAAGTACACGCAGATGTTTCAGTAGAGAGCCAATAAAATGGCAGTATTCGCAGCTCATAAGCCAATGACTGTGCTCAAAGAGTTTGAGGTGGAGCAGTGAGTGCACAGCTCCCTCTACTGAGCTACTGACTAAATGTCATAGTTTATTATTTAATTACAACAACTGGAGAGAATAAAATGTGAAATAAACATAATGTCTTAGTTTATTCTGGGATGGTAGAATGATGTGATTGTGATTATTTTCACACTGCAGAGAAGAAGAGAAGTGCAGTGTGTGAAACACTGAATAAAAATCATTTGTACTCAGTTTTTGAAAGTATTTTTTGATTTGCTGTTAATTTTTTCTCTGTTTCAAAAACTAAATATCTTGATATCTCTGGGGTGCAGTGTCTGATTAACCCCAAACTTATTCTGGTGTCTTATCCTGGTGTGTAGGTTATACAATAGAACGCCTATTTCTCTTGGTTCTATAGGGTGGATTTGTCAGAGAGAGCATAATATAATATTAGTAATGCTACTTTGACGCTTGTCGAGATCATACTTCTCCTGTTATCTCTGTGATGCAAGGTAGGTTTTAAAATAACGTTGCCAAATTTCTACTCCCCCTGATAAAATCCCCCCTGTTGAACTTTACAGATATTTGCTTTCTATGGTATAACCTGGACAGCATTTTTAAATTATAATAGCCAATTTCTTTATGGAGTATAGTGTACATGTGTTTATAGTCCTGGCTATATAACACTCAGCTAATTAGACTAATTACAATATGATTTCTTTGAAATCTCTTTAAGAGAAAAATGATCAAGAAAAAAGTCTCATTGTCCAATAATGATGAGAAAAAGCAGTACTGCAACGTCACACGGTCAGAGGTGAACTTGGTTGTAGCAGGTCTGTTATTACCCCAGAAATTAAAACTGGGTTTAAAGGAAAATGAAAACTTAACTGGTATTTACACACAGAAACAACAGGAATCGCGAGTGTAATCTGTATCATCCACATGCCTGTGTGATCCGTCTGCACGTGATGGGGAGTCGGAATTCAGCACAACATGGTTCGCACCAAAAAAGCGAACTCAATACCTGAGTATGTTTTTCTCAGTGCACATCAGAGCTACACCACCTGCACATCTGTCTGTTTTAACATCTGAGTCTTGATAGACACTCATATCGTTCCTGCAGCTCGAGCTGCTTTTAACTGCAGCAGAACAATAAAATAACAGTGAAGAGGTGTGTTTGATTTTGGATCATGGATCCCAGAGCGTATTTTTGGCCATGTCTGTGACGAAACATCCCTATTTCCTGTTTTCATGGTGGTGAATGTGAGACTAAGATATTTTATCCCTGCAAATCCTCTGACTAATAAACAAACCTTTAAGTGTAATTTGGTCCACTTTAGCTGCTGCAGTGTGAAACCAAACAAACCAAATGAAAAAGATACAATAAGCTAAAAACCCAAACTCTGGTGCAGACTTCAGAAAATGAACAGGGTATGAAAACAGCCTGATGTTCTTTAGCTAGCAAAGTTTGCTATCTGAAGCTGAGCCCAGTAATGCGCAGGATCAAAAACACTGACACTGTTCATCAATAGATTTACAGACACGCATCATTAGCATGACAAAGTTACATACAGACATAAAAACAGTCAGTCTGTGGCCCAGCTGCACTCTGTCACTCAGCCAGCTGTGTTTTCTTTTTTCCACATTTCTAAACACTTTAAACACAATAAATATCATCTCACTTTATTACTTGGCTTAGAAGGAGTTTCACTTTCTTATTGTTCTATCCAAACTTTCATAAGTCAGCTTGGTTATGGTAATGTCCATAATCAAAACAAACAAAACAAAATACACTAATGGGGTCTTCCAGGCTGGCGCTTGACTCAATGACACTTTGTGTCCTTGTTTTTAAAGTCAGTCATCTGCCTGCAGTGACACGGCGTCACAGTTCTGTAATGACTATGATCAACCAGAGGTTTCTAGCTCCACTCATGTGTTCCTGCTCCCCAACAAGAAGGGTAGGCAAATTCAACATGGGCTCTCAGGTACAGTTCAGCTCACTTGGCAATTTTTAACTGTACTGTACTCTCCCATGGAAAATCACCATAAAAGGCCTGATTGTTGACTAATATTCAATTAAGAAGGCAGTTAATTCAGCCCATAACCTACCTGATGTAAAAGTCCATTCTGATGAGTTGGATGATCCATGTTGATTTGTTGCCATACAATAGAAAACTCCATCTGTTCCTGCAGCTAAAGTTACATTGGCTCCTTCTCCAAACTGTGTGATGTCTCCTCCTATCTTCCTGAACCAGGTGTAAGAGCTGGCAGGGTTGGAGTCACTGACACAGACCAGCGTGACTGAGCCATCAAACTCAATCTCAGATACAGATGGAGGTCTGGGAGAGTCTGAACAAGACAGAGACTCGACTAGTTACTGAACTTCTTACACTCAGAGACAAACAGATCAGACAGAACAAACTGCTCTTACATAACATTCTCTGGCAGTTTTAGGGGAGTCTGAGTGGAAAACTGCTAAAGATTCAGGTGTTACAACTGAGCTGCTCTAGAATCAATCATCAATATTATTATTTTAATAAGCTGTCTGATGTTTGATGAGCTGCTCAATTACTAATTAAAGCGTTGAAAGTGACGCTGTTTTGCCAACGGGGGCGTTTCTTTTACTCCTCACTCTAAAACAGTGTCCCAGTATCATACTGGACTGCTGCCCTGTTCTATCCACACTGGGTCAGTTCCTCTGTTCCTCTACTGCTTTTATACCTGTGATCTTGCACAACCTAGATGATTAACTGAATGTTCCTCAGATCATAACTATAACTGTTTCTAAAACTTATTTATAAAGGTTCCTCTATTCTAAACATGCACTCAAAAGCTATTCGAGTGCCATTTGTTCCCCCTTGTAGAGAACCTTCAGCCTGCTAAACTTGAGTTTAAGTTATTCCATGGCCATGAGGTGTCACTCATAAAACTAAAACACCACATTTATTTATGTTATGCATTTAAAACAATAGACTAAGAAACGCTGCTGAACAGCTGAAGCAGGACAGGTCACCTACAGCCACACAACTGCCATATATGGTAGGTAACAAACCCACCACAAACTACCCCACAGCCTGGCATAGACCATCACAAACAACACACACACACACACACACACACACACACACACCATTTAAACCACAACAACAACAATTCACAAGAATTTAGTCTCTCTCACTGCGGCATAGCAGTACCCATGGTTCTCTACACTCACTGCTCCACATGGCCACATTATAACAAAATTGTATGTTTATACATGTAGAGTTTTAGAGAGAGTTAAAATGTCATAACGACTACAATATTAAAAGTTTTTGTCAGAGCTCATAAGCAGAATAATAAAAATACATACAGCAGTCACGTAAGGTCATGTAAAAATACTATAACAGCAAAACTGGACGTATGAATTACGTCTGCTTAACATTTAATTTTTTAACGTGTGTTCTCTCAAACAGACTCAACGTTAGCACCTCAACTGTATTCGCAGGCTATGTTTGCTAAACCTGGAACCAGAAGCTTTTGAAAATGTGGCCAACCGGTTTAAACCAATGTGTTCATTTTTCTGCACTGTTGATTGGTTAACAGTAGTGAACTGAATCTTACAAGGGAGTTAGGAAGGGTGCTGGACCCAGACACAGACAACTGACAGTTAGTAGCTGTACACAGTGCTTCCTTTTTTTCTTCCTTCCAGTTTTACAGACATGTATCAAACAAAACCTTCAGTATTTCGTAGAAAAATGGTAATATACGCTGACATGCCAAAAGTCATGGAATAGCAGTATGTAAATTGATTATGAAGTGGTGTTATCTCAGGGGACGGCTTGGGACGCCCACATCTGTTTAAGTTGTGAGGTGTTATCTTGTGAGTGAGGCTGAACACTGGCTAGCGTGATCATGACAAGGCAGTGTGAATGATCAGAGTTCAAACGAGGTACGATAGATGGTGCCAGACAGATGGGAAATTCCATTTCTGATTGTCAGTGCGGTGTTCTTTAGCTTGCGTTGGACACGGGAGCAGAAGACCCACCAGAGTGCCTCTGTTAACACCAGGACACCGGACACAGCACCTCAAGTGGGCTCGTGAGGTTACTAACTGGACCCTACGAGTCATGGTACCAGTTGTTGGGGCTGATGGTAGGGTTTGTGTGTGGCGCAGACCCCATGAAGCCATGGACCCCAGTTATCAACAAGGCACAATGCAGGCTGGTGGTGGTTCCATACTGGTGTTGGGTGTGTTCTCATGGCATGTCTTGGGGCCACTGGTCCACCTGAACACGTCATTGACCATTTGCAGCGCTTCATGGACTTCATATACCCCCACAACATTGGGAATAACGCACCGTGCCATTGGGCTCAAGCTCTCCAGAAGTGGTCTGAGGAGCATTCTGAAGAGTTCAGACTAATCATGTGGTCTGCACGTTCGTCATGCATTTACAGGATGTGGTGGAGAGGTCCATTCGCACCTAAGATCCTGCACCTACAAACACCACAGTGATGTGGGTGACTATCCAGACGACACGGCTCAACATCCCTCCAGACATCTTCTGTCCACTTGTTGCCACACTTCGCCGGGCTAGAGGAGATCTTACATGATAGTTCCTGTCCCATGACTTTTGGCATGACAGTGTATTTCAATTAAGTTTTTTTTTCCCCCCCTTAGTAACCAACAGGGCGGAACCATAACACCCATAATGGAAGATTGCTCTATTAAATCATTCTTGATGACTCTGCTGGTTTAGTTGGTGAGCTGAATCAGATGTGCTGGAGCAGGAGACACGTTAAAATGTGTAGCTGAGAAACACTGTTTAAATTAGATTATAAGTGTATGTGAAAATCTGTACTCACACACTGGAGGAGAGTGGAGATCACTGCCTTTAACAGCACAGCTGTAGTTGACCGCTTCACTGACCACAGCTACAGAGCAGGAGGCAGATTCACACTGAGATAAAGGCTGTCTGTTCTTGTACCAAACGTAAGTGGTGGGGTTGGGCAGAGTGCAGGTGGAGCTACAGTTCAGCTTCTTTACTCCTCCATCTGTATCTGACACTGTAACCTTCAGATCTGCAGGTGATTTTAAACAAGGTTTAGTGTTATTTTCATCTGTAGATACTCTTACAGTTAACTACACTCACTGTATGTATCTAGTAGGGGTGTGTATGGATACTCGGTTAAGTGTTCCAGGTGTCGGTATCTGAACACTGAAATCACTGTTGGGGTATTTGTTATGCTGCATCACGGAAAGTCGGATGCAAAAAAGAAAAAAAAAAACAAAACGACAGTTCGGTGATGCATCATGAAACAACTCTAGCTGGAGTTATCAAGAACCAAAAACCATCATATTTCTCTGTATTTAAACATATATGATGGAACATCATCCACTAAGGAAAAAAGCTCCATGTAAAATCATCACCATCTACCACTGCATTGGTTAGCTCTAGCGTTAGCATTAGCTCAACTGAACAGGCAGCCTTCCAGCTACTAATTGCTTTAGTCAGCAAATACCAGTAAACTAGTTACCCCTGTCTGTGTGTTATGAGGAAAAACTTTTCCTTTCCTGAGATTAACCGAATATCCATTCATTATCCAGAGTTACCTGTGACAGACAGAGTGACTCCAGGTGAGCCAGAGTATTTGCCGTCAAAATCATCGGTGTAGAATCTGAACCTGTATGTGTGAGCGTCACTCTCTCTCAGGTCAGTGATGGTCATTCTACAATAGTTCAGGGTCTGGCTGTACTGCACTCTCCCCTTATACTGATCAGACTCTCCCACATCCACAGGCTCAACACCAGGCTGCCAGTGACTTTCAATGAACCAGAGTGATTTAGTCACTCTGAGTCCTTCAGGGTGTTTATAAGTGCAGGAGAAATGAACTGATGATCCTTTCAGAGCACAGACATGTTCAGGAGTGTAGGTCACAGCCCACTGCTGATAAACCAGATCACCTGGAACACAGAGTCACAGTCAGGAAGAAGGAATTATATAACAATAATAATAATAATATCGGTATGAAACTAATATCCTCAATTACTATCTAGCTAAACTGTCCATTACTGCATTATAGAAATAATCTCTGGGTAAAAAATGATGTATGTAGTGATTAATTCTCAATTCTTTGAAGTCCCAATCGTTCCCCTGTCTGACATTTCTTCATGACACTAATCTCACCTACGGGGGGGTGTTTTATTTCCTTTAGAAAGACTGAGGGAAACAGCAGAGAGACACTGACAGTGAAAGACAGACAGAGAGAGAGAAAGATGTACTACAGTAAATACATATTGCAGCTATTCAAACGCTGACATGGGGACTGTGGAGAAATGAATGATTATCAGTGGAGTTTTATTGGTGTAGCTTGTTTATTTAAGGCGGCAAATTGTACTGCTGCACAATTTAAGGTGGAACAGGAAAAACGAAAGAGAAGCTGCAGAATGAGAATCGACTACAGCTTCGTGAGTTCTTGCAGATTAAACGTATAAGGAAACCAGCTGAGCGCTTATAAAAGCAAATAAGTCCGTTCATCTCCAAATTATCAATGTTCATCTTAAAACTCTCTCTGTGCCGTTTCGTTGTCTGTGCGTCAGTCTTCAGCGTAAAATGTTGGTGAATTAGCAGTTCTACGTTAACTCCAGCGTTTAAGACCATTTATTGTGAAAACTGTGTTTGAACTGTGTGTTATAACGATTTTACAGTAAAGGAGAATTATTTTATGTTATTTTACCTAAAAATCCAGTTCTGCTGTGGAGCTGCAGCAGCTCTGCAGCAGTGGAGAGATTATTCAGGCCTGATTCTCACCCCAAACAGAGCCAGAGTCACTGATGAGGATTTTGAGGCTAAAGTGTTGCTGAAGTTTAAAGGACTCTGAATGTCTGTAAATATCTTGCTAAAATGTTTAAATTGGAGCAGTTTTATTTCAACAGTTGACAATTCTTTCCATAAAACTGTTTGGTTTGTATTCAGTTATTTCTGTTGATTTTTATTAGGAAAAACCTGGAATGATTGACTTTGCCTTTAGTCTAAAGTTTTGTTGGATATCAGGCCTTTGGTTGTGTAAGTTTGATTGTTGGTTACACTTAAACTCACTTTTTGGTGATCTTTTTGTATATTTGCAGCTTTTCAATTGTGCGTTTCTGTCTGACTCAGATGAAATGCAGTGTCTTGTTCACACTGTGAGTTGGGCTTGTCTGGTGTGTCAGGTGGAGATTCACAAACATTCTGACAGTCGCGCTTTGAAAGTAGCTAAAAAGTAGCCACTACTTTTTCTGGAAAAGTACCTAATTTGTAGCTGCTACAAATTTTGGGAAAGTAGCTACAAAGTAACTAACTACTAATGTTTCAGTAGGTATCCCAACCCTGTTTATAATGCTCCACATGTTTTCAGACAGTTTTGGACCTCAGGCAGGTCAGTTCAGCACCTGCACTCTGACTATGTAGCCACGCTGTTGTAACGTGCAGAATGCAGCTCAGATCGTCTCACTGAAACCAGCAGGGACACAAACACGTTTTGGAGTGATCAAAAAACAAACAGATGTTTCTGATCATTTCACAACCTTCCCAGCCACATTCCTAACTTTTTTGGAACAGATTTACAAAAAACAATACAAAAAAAAGGTGAAATAATCTCTTCTTTGTGCCGTTTTCAGTTAAACATCTGTAAAAGACAGTTTTCAAATCACTGTTTTCTGTATTTATTTGTATTTTACCTACTGATCCAACTTCACTGGAGTTGAGTTTGTCATTTATCTATACATCTATCTACAGTTCTTTACTATACAGGTGCATCTCATTGAATTAGAATATCATCAAAAAGTTAATTTGTTTCAGTAATTCAATTCAAAAAGTGAAACATTATATAGATTCATTACACACAGAGTGATCTATTTCAAGCATTTATTTCTTTTAATGTTGATTATGGGCTACAGCCAATAAAAACCCAAAAGTCAGTATCTCAGAAAATTAGAATATTGTGAAAAAGTTCAACATTGTAGACTCATGGTGTCACACTCTAATCAGCTAATCAACACAAAACACCTGCAAAGGTTTCCTAAGCCTTTAAATGGTCCCTCAGGCTGGTTCAGTAGGCTTCACAATCATCCAAGCATATAAATGGAAAGTGGAGTGGAAGGAAAAAGTGTGATAGAAAAAAGTGCACAAGCAACAGCGATAACTGCAGCCTCAAAAGGATTATCAAGAAAAGGTGATTCAAGAATTTGGGGGAGATTCACAAGGAGTGGACTGCTGCTGGAGTCAGTGCTTCAAGAGCCACCACACACAGACGTATCCAGGACATGGGCTACAACTGTCACATTCCTTGTGTCAAGCCACTCATGACCCAGAGACGACGGCAGAAGCGTCTTACCTGGGCCAAGGAGAAAAAGGCCTGGACTGTTGCTCAGAATCCACAATCCAAACTGCTTGAGGTCTAGTGTGAAGGTTCCACAGTCAGTGATGGTTTGGGGAGCCATGTCATCTGCTGGTGTTGGTCCACTGCGTTATATCAAGTCCAAAGTCCGCGCAGGACATTTTAGAGCACTTCATGCTTCCCTCTGCTGACAAGCTTCATGGAGATGCAGATTTCATTTTCCAGCAGGACTTGGCACCTGCCCACACTGCCAAAAGTACCAAAACCTGGTTTAATAACCACAGTATCACTGTGCCTGATTGGCCAGCGAACTCACCTGACCTAAGCCCCTTAGAGAATCTATGGGGTATTGTCAAAAGGAAGATGAGACACCAGACCCAACAATGCAGACGAGCTGAAGGCCGCTATCAAAGCAACCCGGGCTTCCATAACACCTCAACAGTGCCACAGGCTGATCGCCTCCATGCCACGCCGCACTGATGCAGTAATTCACGTAAAAGGTGCCCCGACCAAGTATTGAGTGCATATACTGTACATACTGTTCAGTAGGCCAATATTTCATATTAAAAATATTTTTTTAAATTGGTCTTATATAATATTCTAATTTCTAAAATCAATGATTTTCATTGGCTGTAGGCCATAATCATCAACATTAAAATAAATAAATGCTTGAAATAGATCACTCTGAGTGTAATGAATCTATATGAGTCTACTTTTTGAATCGAATTACTGAAATAAACAGCAGCTGAAATAACAGCAGCTAAAGAAAAATAAACGCTGGCACAAGCAGCTGTAAACTGTTAGTGTTAGTTGGCTGGTTAAGCACCAATAAAGAATTTTCTGTTTTATTTTCAGGTGAATTGATCCAGTAAAATTAAATGTCATCTGACATGATCATGTGACACATGATCAGTGTTCTGATTGGCTGTTTCATGAAATATTACATAAAGCTAAAACACTTGCAACTGTTACATCTGAGTTTAAAAAGAGCTGCAGGATGATTTACAACTGAAGTGCAATTAAGGTCCATGTAAGTTATGTGCATAGTACGATTTTTTGAGTATATAATGTGGCGTTTATTATTTTACACATTTTATTACACTCTGAACTACTTTCCAGTGTACAGTGCCTCCACAAATATTGGCACCCCTGATAAACATGAGCAGAACAGGCAGTAAAAAAAATTATAGCTGATCCGTTTGATCTTCATTCAAAACATTAGCACAAATCTAACCTTTTAAACTACAAGTACTAATAGAGAAACTTCTTAATCTTTCCTGAAATAAATATTTTCTCAAATCTGTCTCTGCCACAATTGTTGGCACCCCTTCATTCATGTCTCCCTTTGCAAAGATAACAGCTCTGAGTCTCTCCTATTACACTTAATGAGACTGGAGAACACATGGCAAAGGGTTCAGGGGGCTGGGGTGGCCACGGCAGAACCTTAATTCTGTGGTCACAGAAGCATTTGTGTGTTGACTGTGAGGTGTGTTTTGGATCATCGTCCTGCTGGAAGATCCAAACTATGGCCCAGTTTAAGCTTCCTGGACGAGACGGTCAGGTTTATATTTATATCTGCTGGTACTTGATGGAGCCCATGATGGCACGTATACAAACATATTCAGGCCGTTTCCTGATTTGTGCAGCTCAACAACCTTTTGTCTCACATCACGGCTGTTTTCTCTGGTCTTTCTCACAGTGATGGCTGACTGAGGGAATCTGGCCTGTTTAATCTTGTATATGTTCCCCAGTGAAACAGGACGTGGCTGAGCATTAAAGCGTTCCTAATCTCTCAAGTGAACTTTAAAATATGAATGGAAATGTACTCGAGATAGATTTCACTCATAATAATATCTAGGGGTGCCAACAATTTCTTTTTCCAAATCTTGTTTCATGTTCACATCTGTTTGATCACTGTACTTTAAATAAGGGTTAGATTTTTATAAATATTTTCAAATAAATATCAAAAGAATAAGAAATACAGAACAATTTACAGCACGTTTTGTTCTTATTTACCAGAGGTGCCAATATTTATGGAGAGTACTCTAAATTTACTGATGAAAATATTTATACAGTACAGTGTGGTATTTTGTATCTAAAACAATCTGGCAAGTTTCTCATTCATATGAGTTTATCAGCAGATTGAACCCTGTTATTCTAAATATAATGTAAATGATGTAGAACTAAAATGTTCCATCTGTGTATCTCAATTTGAAACCACATTGTAAATATATGAAGAAACTGTTCTATGTTAAACTGTTCTTATGAAATCCGTGTTCTTGGAGATCTCTAATGTGTAAAATCTCTGTGAAATGCAGGTTATTTTCTGTTCTAAATTTCTTAATATTCTTCAGTGGTTTGATGGTGAGAGACAGACAGACTGACACTTACAATTTTGCTGAGGGAGGCTGTTGTTCTTCACCTCACAGGTGAATCTGTCCTGATTAGATGATCTGGTGGAGTCCAACCACAGTGAGGCACTAAATGAACATCCTATGTACTGATTATTCCTGTTCCAGATGTAGTAACAGTTTCCTCTGGGCCTGCAGGGGGGGCTACAGGTCAGTTTCACCACTTTCTGTCCTACAGTCTTATGATCCACCTTCGCCTGCAGGACTACACACACACACACACACACACACACACACACACACACACACACACACACACACAACGTAATCATATACAATCAGGCCAATTATTATTATGTTTATGTGGAACAGCACTGTGTAACTGTGGGTGTATTTATGTAGATGAGCCTCTCAGACTGTCTGCAGGTGAAGCTGATATCTGATGTTCTGATGAACTGTTCTTTATTACTGTACTTAAGTGTTATTTTGGAAGATCTGTGTTTTACTCCAGTCTTACCAAAACTAAATACTTGTACTTCTAACATGTTTTTTTTTTAGTGAACACATGCAACTGATTTCATATCACTGCAAAATAAAAGTGCACAATTTGTAGTGCAAGCTAAAAAACAAAAATGTTTCTTTCTAAAAATCAAAACATTTTCTCTGTGAACACATTGACTTTTTTACTTTTCTAAACTTCAGTGTGTTTAAACGTTGATACTTAAACCTTCATTGCAGTATATTTTGGCTTCAAACTTCCATTTTGACTGAGAAAGAATTTAACTCATAGAACAATGAGTCCAGAACTCAGCAATAAAATAAGCAAGAGATCATAGTTGCTTAAATCTTTTTACTTCACGGCAGATATTTCAGCTCATTCTGTCCTCAACGCCATTAAGATTTTAACTCAGTACCCATAACTCCATCCACATCTAAACATATTATCATACTTCAGTACAGTTTCTACAGACTTTTTCCGCCCTGTTAACTGAACCAAGAGGTGGAGACCTCATAACCACAAAAGAGCTGACCTCAGTTTAAAACAGTTAATCACACAAATAAGCTCTGGTGATGAAGATCTTCAGCTTAAAGCTGCAGTTAGTCTGAATGTTCTGTGAGTTTAAGAGATTATAAAATGGTATCAGTTATTAATCTGTAGTTACTGCAGCTCTGCTGTTCGTTCTAAAGCCACTTCCTGTGACTGAATCGTGTCAAATGTATTAAAATGTTCTGAAACACACTGTAACTGTTATATGTTGAAGGATTTTTAGTCTCTACACGTTAATCTGACACAGATGTAGATCAACGCTGTGGAACACAAACACATTAAGAGCAGAAATGTAAATAAATGTAAAGTTTACCTGCCAGTAAAATGAGGATCAGTGCTGCTGTAATATTTGCTGAGCTCTGGGAAAACATGGCAGCATCACTCTTCAAACACAGCGGATACCTGAAGGTCCAGAAGGTCCAGAAGCTCCTCACTCTGACTCTCCTACACTTATGAACTGTTCTGATCTCAGCAGAGAGAAAGTCAGCAAAGACACTGAAGACGTGATCTGCATTGTGTGTTCTGTCGTCACTCCTCCCCTTTCAGCTCAGAGTCACTTCCTTTTTCACTCAACGCCCTCAGATTGTGATGATCGCCGTCTGAGTGTGATGATCATTTTATTTCTGTTCTTCTTTGTGAGGATCATCTCATCACTGTCAGATCAAAACCTACTGACATACATTAAAGTCCAAAACGCTGCCACTTCAGAGAGGAAAGGGTTAGTTATGATAGCAGTGATATGAGATGAAGCTCCTCTTCTAAACTGCTCTATTTCTGTCCTTTTATCTACAGAAAGGGTTGATGATGTTCTGCTATCAGGTTTGGACTCTCCTGTGTCCTGATATTCAACTTCAAACACCTCCATCTGTTTGGTGGCCATCATACCAAACGCTGCAGCTGTGCATTAAGTTAAACACTAATACAGTCCAGAGTTTCTCACAGTTTAAAATATACTTCAGTGCTGAGACAATGCCCGCAGTCCGGGGGAGGGGGGGGGGTTGTGAGCAATGAGGTAATGACTGTTGGTGAGTAAGTATAGTCTCTGTGTGTGAAACACTGCAGTCTAACACAAAAGTCTGAAAGACCACATAAGTTAACAAACCCTCTACAGAGAACTCACAGCCTCACAATCTCCATTCCAGTTCATCCCAAAGGTGTTCAGTGGGGTTGAGGTCAGGGCTCTGTGCAGGCCACTGGGATTTCTCCACACCATTTACACCCGTCCAGCAGACGCTTGGCACGGCACATAGTGATCTTAGGTTTGTGTGCAGCTGCTCAGCCACGGAAACTCATTTCAAGAAGCGCCTGACGCTCAGTTCTTGTGCTGATGTTGATCCCAAAGGCAGTTTGGAATGTAAACACATGAATCATCAGATCAGTGTCTGACCACACAAATGCTCTTTTGACCAAATGGACACAAATTCACACAGACAGACTCCAACATCTTGTAGAAGTTTCCTAGAAGAGTGGAAGCTGTTAGAGCTGCAAAGGGGGACCAACTCCATATTATCCACTGTTTCGCTGCAAGTTTCTCTGACTTAGTTTCTGGATCCCATGAGCATTAATTATTATAAAGTCTGTAATAAAATGTCTGGACTGGATGGAGATTAATTTGCAAACATTACTCAAAAGTACTGTAGTTGGCAATTTGAGGGTTTTGTTCTTTCAGTTTTAAACAGAGAAAGGTCAGAGTTGCCTGATGCAGGTAAAGTTAGGTTTCTAAAAAAACACAAATGTTCAGCTTTTATAGTGACCCATTATGTTTAATGCAGGAATTAAAAAAGATCTATTAGTTTATTTTAAAAGCTGATTACAAAGTTCATTTTAAGGTATATTTAAGTGTATAAATGTGGCAGAAACAGACATCTCAGGATGTGTTTTGTGAAAAGTCCCCTCCATTTCCACTCCTGTATATGAGTATATGAATATATGCGCGAGGCACAACTATTAATGGAACAGAAACTCAGAAGACCAGCAGGAGAGAGATGAGCTTATCTTACACCATCAGCATATAGAACAATTAAATTTACACTCTCAATCACATGACCGACCCTTCACACGCACAGAGCGGCTGCAGTGACCATTTAGCAGAAACTGAAGACGTTATTATTATTTTATGGTCAAGCTGAAGTTCATAACCAGCCGTCCGGAGTCTGCAAGACTTTAAAAATATCCGTTAACATTCTTACATTATGAGCTGATCGGCTGTCAATAAACTTGATTGGTTTTTCACAATAAATAGTGCAAGTGTTGGGAGTTAAAACCAGCCTAAATAACTTTAGATGAGGGCATTTCAGACCATTTCAGCAAACAAATAAGAACTAGTCTGATCACTGATCATGATGAAGTACTATAGGCGTAATGAAAAAAATATTAGTGATTAATTGTGGAGTGTGGAAAATATTACAGTTAGCTTGAATAATTGTGATCTACTTAAAGAACCGCTATCATTGAAAATATCTGCAATTCAGTGATCATGTAATAACTGGCCTAATCATCACACATATTCAGCTCATTAACAGACTGCATCAGTAATAATTAGGGACTCATCGATACCGATACTGATATCTGGTATTGGGCTGATACTGAGCTCATTTACTCGATCTCATATAAATTCACCAATACCAACATTCTGATACCAGCTGATACCGTGTGCTGTAAGCCGAGTGTAGCTGCTGCGCTAATGAACAACACAGTGAAGGAGGATCTGTTTTACTGACTCCATCACAGTCGGACACAAAGCCGAAGGTCACTTTAAACATTCCGCCTCGGCAGATTCCCATCAGCGTGAGTTCCACACTGTGAGATTATAAACTGTTTATAAACACATAGTCACAACCGCTTCACCAATATAGGTGGAGACACACAGGTGAATTAAAAAACAAAAAAATTACTGAATCATTTCCTACCAAAGTCCATCTATGTGACTTTACTCTGTTTGACTGAATAGTGAGATATAAACATTAATACAGTTATTTTCTGTAAATCAGGCTGTAGAGAGACCGAACTGTCCTACTGTCAACATCACCGCCTGCTTTAGCTTCAGTGCTCAGTGTTAGCAGAGCTGCTCAGTTCCTCAGTGTGTTCAACCCCCCCATTAGTATCTACAGAACCACAGTACTGAAACTTTAGCCCCGACACTTTCAGCTCCCTGCACCTCTTTTTTTTTTTAAATCAATATCTTTATTTGATTTTGAAGATGATGGAAGAAATTAGATCAATGCTCATAAAGACAGTTTACAACTTAACAACAGCACACATCAAGACAAAACAAAACCAAAAAAAAGAGGTGTACGTAATGTTCACAGTTCAGTTTATGTTGATCTGTTACATTGCAGTCGTGTCCAGTTCTTTTGTAGTGTTCCTCTTTAGGCTTCTTCGCTAAGCAGGCTAAGAATATAATAATTTATTACAATAATAAAAAAAATATAGGCTAGCTATATTTACACTATATTTACACATATCAAAGTACACATCATTGAATTGTCCGTCATCAGTCAGCAAGCTCCCCCTTTTCAAGAAAATTCAGAAACACCTCCCATATATCTCTGAATTCATTCATTTTACCCTTCATAAAATGTTATTTTTTCCAATGCAAGACTTGAGGTCATTCCTTTTATCCTTTGTGATATACCAGGGGCTTCTTCCTTTTTCCAGGATCGCGCTATTACACGTTTAGCTTCAAGGAGACACAGGTTAATCAAGGAGGATTCTTTTTTATGGATTTTAAGTTCATCTGGGAATATTTGAAAAATGCACAGTTTAGGACTAAGAGGAACATCCTTGTCAATAATCAATAACACTATGTGGATTACCCTTCTTCAGAGGTCCCGTATTACAGAGCATTCCCATATACAGTGGAACAGTGTACCTGTACTCTGTTTGCATTTAATACAAGTATCTGGAATATTTGAGTTAATTTGGTGTAGTCTGAATGGTGTAATGCACCATCTGCCTAGCCATTTGTATTGAAGAAGTTCTGAATTAGTGTTTAGCGTTTGCGTTTGGGCCTTCACACAGGCCAGACCTCCTCTATCACATGGTAGATAAAGTACAGAATATCTCAGTCTAGGACGTTTACCATTCCATATGAAGTGTATGATCGTTTTTTTGAGAAGGTTAAATAGAGAAGGTGGTGGCTGGAGAGGAATTGTCTGAAAAAGATATAAAAATTTAGGTAAGACAGACATTTTAATTATATTAATTTTTCCGATCATAGATATGGGGAGCTTGGCCCATCTAGAGATTGAATTTAATGTTGAGTCGACAACTGGGTCATAATTTGTTGTGATAAGTTTACTCATGTCAGGGGTTATTTTAATTCCAAGATATGTGAATCCCTCTTCAGTGGAACTAAATGGCGTTAACAGAGGCGGTTGAGTTCTGTTCTTTTCCTGCAGATACACTAAAACTGATTTGTTGTTGTGGATCTTGTACCCAGAAATAATACCAAAGGAGTTAATTAATTCAAGGAGTGCAAAAATAGTTTGCTTTAAATTGGAAAGAAATAAAACTATATCATCTGCATATAATGATATACGATGCTCTACCCCACCAACCTCTATACCCCTGATACTAGTATGTGTTCAAATGGCCAGAGGCTCTATGGCAACAGTAAATAAAAGAGCTGACAGGGGGCAACCTTGTTGTGTGCCTCTGTACAATCTAAATGGAGATGAAATCAGCCCATTAGTGAGAATTCTAGCAGATGGGTTTGCATAGAGAATACGAATCCATTTTATAAATCCACCTCCGACACCCATTCTGTGCCTCCCTTGTACAAAACCATTTTGGTCCTCATGTATAATTTTTGGTAGAAGGGATTCCAATCTTCTTGCTAATACTTTACACAGAATTTTTGTATCATTATTTAAAAGTGAAATTGGTCTATATGACTTTCTATCTGTTGGACATTTCCCAGGTTTGACCAGCAGTGTAATTAGTGTTGGGGGTAGAGTGTCAGATTTGTAAGACTTGACATACATATCCATGAGGGGTGGAATCAATTTACTCATGAATAGTTTATATATTTCTATCGGCATGCCATCGGGCCCTGGCGCTTTCCCTCCCTTCATCTTACTAATTGCATCAGCAAGCCCTTCAGCTTCCAATTCACGTTCCAAAGAAGCAGAATACTCTTCATCCAATGGAGAGAATTGTAAAGAGTTAAGAAATTCTGACTGCCTTTATTGCGATATATGTGAATATTCTGAACTATATAGGGTCTGGTAATATACTCTAAATGAATTATTTATTTCTTCTGGGTCAACTGTTGTGTGTCCATCCTCACTTTCAATTGCATTTATAGCCCTCTCTGACTGCAATTGCTTAATACGCCAGGCCAGAAGTTTCCCTGCTCTCTCTCCCTGTTCATAATAGCTCTGCTTTAGGCACCACAAGCTCTTTATTGCTTGATTTGATGACAATTTCTTATATTGAGATTTTAGTATATGCAACTGGGGAATGAGTCTGGAAGGATCATTACTCGAATAAATTTGCTCCTCCATTTCTTTAATTTTATCTTCTAGTTTTTTAAACTTTATCTT